ATTATATCCTTCGGCAGTTTGGTGAAATCCACTTTCCCTACATCAACAACTGATGAAGGATTCAAAGTTTGGATTAACCTTTTGGCTGAATCTTCATTCTCCGCATTGAAGTAAAAACTCACGTAATTCCTTAACCGATTGGTATCTGCCACCATTTTCGCAGCAAATGAAAAGCACATGGTGTTGAAGTGCGCCTGCGATCCCAGCTTCGGAAGAAGCCGCTGAAACAGTATGGCGTGCCATGAACACAGTATCGACATTCAATTTTTTCGATTATCTTGTAATATTCAGACATTATTTTACTGGGGACGGAAAAGTGAGTTGTATGCTAGCTACCATATCCGATTGATTTCCTAATATAAAGATTTCAAAACAAAACTTGTGTCGTGGTTTTCTTTAGTTCTTGGACAAAAGGCGAGTCGCCAGTGCTCAATTTTTGGTGGCATTGGCGACCAGTTAGTCGCAATTTTGAGCCCTGTATCTCTAGGATACAATAAAGCTATCCTTAGAGAATTTCCTTCATATAATAAATTCACTGATCATACATGTCAGTAAAAACCAACTTGTAATAAAACCAATTTAAAAGAAAATGAATGGACTTAGTCTACATATCAAGATTAAAAAAAAAAGAGTTTTTGACACTTCCAACCTTTTTTCGGCAAAAAGGGTGGGGAACGTAACCAGCCCAAACATGTATTAACTATATAGTTTTTCTGTATTTATCTGATAAATTCACTGTGAGGTACCAACCAAATTCTTCTTTGTTTTGTACTATTATTATTATTATTATTATTATTACTATTATTATTATTATTATTATTATTTACTTATCATTTATAAAGTGACTGCAGCTAAAAATTATCTATTTACCATCAACCTTTTGGAAACTTGAGTATGATGTTCTTGTGTAAATGGTCGGCTGCAAACTGTGCTGCTCTGTGGCCAGCATGTCCATCAAACACTCCATAGTAACACATCCTCGAACTGCAATGCATAATCCAAAGAATTTGATATAAAACATTTTCACCCTCAAATGGTTATTAGCAAAATTATAATGAGAACACTAATTAGAACACTTAGGGAAATTAACAACTGAACAAAGTTGTACAATATTTAGATCCAAGGCGTGCCCAAGTCTTGCTGCTTGACTACCATTAAATTGATTTCAGAAATTTGTAAATAACAAGCCATCTATGGCTATATTTATTATTATGAACTAACAATGTAAGCTCCTAGTTGGCTTGATAGCTCAGTTGGTAGAGCACTGCACCAGTATCGCAGAAGTCATGGGTTCAAATCCCATTCAGGCCTAAATTTTCTTCAGGCTTTAATTCCACGACTGCTTACTGTAAGTTGTGTGTACATGTAACTGCAATTATCATTCATGTCTTCAAAACTTCCAGTAATTCCAGCTTCCAGCTTTGCTTTTTAATCTGTCCATTTAATAAATATTTAATCATGCAACCTCTCTAAAAAGAATGTATTAATGAAGACTACTCACATGACCTGAAAATTATGGAAGAAAAATAATACTAGTACTTTAAAAAATCTGTATTTTATAGGAATTATATTAAAGTAAATTGTAGAGAATTTCTTGACTTACATTCCAACAGGCCGGTTAGTGAACTCTTCAGTAAAATCATCAAAGATGACATGTGCATCTTGCATGTCATTCCTCTCTCCTTTTCTTCCAGCAACAAAGCCCCTCAATTTGTATTTAGATTCTACAGAAGAGAAATGAGGAGGGAAAACTTAGTTATTTAGTGATGGCAACTTGCAAATCCCTTTAGGGGGTTTGAAATTTGCAATCCCAAGGGTTTCTTTAACATTTTGGGGTAAAAGATTACAGTAATGACCTCTTTTTCCTAGGGGGGGGTTTGGAAAAAGTTTCTCTTCTTCTTGTCAAACAATAATTTTGTTGGAAACAATTGTATACTATATGCAAATGAAAGGCGACTTCTAGTTTTATGTTGGTGAAAACTAAATTTTTAGAACTCGTTGGGTGTCACCATTTGATCTCATCTAGGCCTTACACCTCTCCATCACCCAATTATACCTGAGTCTTTCCCCACCCC